ATCACCTACCAGAGTTAGCTCAAGGTCATCTCACCTTGGTGCCTTACACTGAGCTCTGGAGGAGGCAGAGGGCTGGAGGAAGGGGATTAAAGAGCTTCTGAAAAGGTTCTCCYGGCACGGTCAGCCAAGCGACGGCACTGCCACGATAAGGGCAGCTCTGGATGCTTGCCACAGCCTCCTYCTGACAGAGGAGCAGGGATTTGGGTTTCCAGTTTCTCCTGGGGACTGCTTCTGGTGCTGTGCTAGAGCTGCTTGGCAGCCTTGGTGTCGAGCTGGTGCGCTGCCGTGAGGAATTAGTAATCTGGGGGGTGAGAAGGGCAGGATTATTTTCCCGTTTTTCTGGCATAATTATGAGGCAGAGGAGGCAGAGAGGGAGTGCTGTTGATGCTGGGTTATGAAAAGATAAAGTCTGTCGCTGTCCTGGCATCCAGCATTTGCTGCCTGGGGTGGAAAATTTGAGAAAAGGAGTAAATTTGGACAAGGTGTAGCGTTAAGAGACAGCCTTGGATGCTTTCCATCTATACCTACTGGAGACTTTACCCACCATCTGTAGTCAAAGGTGATTAAAAAAAAGTCTTATTGTTTCTCTTGCTAAAAATGCTCTCAGCTGCATTAAAAAATGGGCTTTTATTAAGAACACTGCTCGCTAAATACCATTCATAAAACAGTGACGAGAAAATATGATGGAAAGTTAAATTTTTCTCTCTGTCACTTTGATTTCTTTGTTACTGCTAAAACGACTGCTCTGACTCATATTTTGCATAGTTATTTTTACCTTTTCAAATGTTCCTTAACTGTTCATATTACCCTGGGCAAATCCCCCAGGGATAATTTTCATTTGCATGCAGACTTTGATGGTGTTATTAAGCAATCACTTTCTGTACTAAGTCATTATTAAAAGTAATACCACAGAGCCTCAAAAACACATTAATGGTGCCAAACAATCYGCATTTCAGTGCTAGATTTATGGARAGGGAAAAGCACAAGGTCTCATATCATTTGGTGGATGCTGCTCTATAGTTCTGTAGAAGCAGCAGGCTTTATCAGAAAATATCAGAGCCAAATTCAGAGCCCTTATCTCTTGTCAGCCTTATTKCTTTAAATGCCCTTTTAATTTTTTTTTCCTTTTAACCTGCTTGCTTCCTACTTGTKTTTCCCCTTGGATTTGCCCTTTTCCTCTGGCCTTGGCAAGGAAGCCTGTCTTCAGCCTTCCAGTATACACAAGCTGGGCTGGTTCTGGGAAAGAGGGTCAGCCTTCCCATCTGTAATCACCATTTTATGGCTTCCACTCGAGGTGTTAATGCAGATCAAATGGAAAACAGTCCAGCATGAGCGTTACAGCTTCTCCTGCTGCCCTGCACACGGTCCCAATCGTTAATTCTGATTATAAGACSTAAAGGTAATTCTGTTTGCTCTCCTAATGCATTGCAGCTCTCCCGGTGGTCCGGTGTCTCTTTTCTCCAATTCCCATCTTGATCAATTGTTTGCAAATAATTAAGCTTTTAAGAGATAATGGTAGAAGCTAATGTACACAACAAAGTAAAGGTCTCAAGTCACTGTTTATTGAACAGTTTGCTTTGATATCCCAAAGTGATCCAGAGTGATAGGTGGACTTGTCAGCTGGAGTCACTGCAGTGTTTTTAGGCATTCTTCCATATGTATTTATATATTTCTTRAAATCATAGAATATCTCAAGTTGAAAGGGGCCCATGAGGATCAAATCAAACTTTCTCTTCCTCACAGGACTACCTTAAACTTAACTRTTTGACTAAGATATGTTTTATACATATTCATGCAAATATAACACACATACATACACAAATATCTATATCCATATTTATGTGTCTTTAGTTGTTCAAACAACCATTAGCAGGTTTTCAGAAGACACTGGTCATTTTTACACAGGAGGAATAAAGACCAACAGCAACAGATCTGATTGAATTTCCTATTTCTTCATAAAATGGCAGTTCTCAGGGTTTTCCCCTCTCTCTCTGTTGCAATGTGATGTCTGCCTTTGCCTGTAGCACAGGCCTTCCGAGCCCTGTGGGTRGGAATGCAACAAGGCTTTGAATGTTTTTATAGCAACCTAGCCTGTGGCACGCTGATTCTTTGTCAAGTCATTTTTTTTATTATTTGATTTTATTTTTAGTCTACAAAGGAACAACTCGTATGATCCACAGAWAGCTTATATAATCAGGTTGCTGAGTATTTAAGATTACTTTAAACCACACCGAATCATAGTTAAAAAGGCTGCCGCGTTGTGACCCTTTAGCTAAGAGGGATTAGCTATGTGAAATCCCAGGCTGTCATGTGATTATGGCAATTACAGATTTATCATGAAATTAAAAGTTTATGCTGTACTAGGATATGAAAGAAAAAAATAATCAGATGACCTTAGACATACCACAATGTGAGGAATTTGTAGTGTGGGACTTTTAAAGCAATTATTTTTACAGTGACAGTATTATTTTGATGGCTAATTTTATCCAGTCTTGTCTATTTAAAAAAAAAATGTCCAGAACAATTGAAAATTGCTTAATGGAGACAGACTTCTCAATTCCAATAGCTAGAGGCTGTCTAGTAATTATTGCTTGCTGCATGAAATTAGACACAGTTTGTTCAATTACTTAAAATTAGATCACATGTAAGGTGGCAAAGCAAAATAAGAAAAAAAAAAAAAAAGAATAATTCTGTCCTCGCTTGATAGCAAAGTAATGAAATGAGAAGTAGGCTGTAAAGATGAGAATGTTACAAATCATCTCTGTAGGGTTTGGGTTTTTTTTTGTTGAAAGGAAGCAAAATGTTGTGTTCAGATAGATGGGCATGTTGTGGATGAATGTGTGTAGAAGGMAGAAGGTAAAATACATGCTATATTTTTGCTTGTGTAAAATGCAAATTACCCATAAAAAAAAAAGAAATAAAATCCCCTTCCCTCTGGTTTTCACTTTGCAGTTCTGGATCSGTTTCATGTACACACAGAAAATACAGGGGGTGGTTTACAGGTGTGCAGRTCATCTMTGGGCTTCCTGTCAAGAAAGAAGTATTTTTAAAAGAATAATTCCTCTGCATTTTTGGGTGATAAAGGATAAAGCATCTCTCATGGAGCTGATGGCCATGGTGGGGGGCTTTGAAATGGGTGTATTGAGTTAAGAGAAGTTGCTGGAGTTACAACAAAAATCCCTGAGGTGATAYTTGTGTGTAACATAGCCACGAGAAGTCAGACCGTGCTGTTTACAAGAATATATAAAATCTGCTAAATAGCTATAATACCAGTAAGATTGTGGCATTTTATGAGGTTTTAAATTCTTATGCTTTACAAGGTTTCAGTTTACRTCTCATGTAATATTACACTGGAGAATACAAGAATCCACAGAATAACGGAATATTTGGGGGGGAAGTATGGGATGAGTGTATAATAGCAAACACTGTGACAATCAGCTGTTAAATGGTGTTGGACTAACCAGTTATATCAAATTTTCTTTATTGAAATGTTGTTAAGCACCTTGCAGCAGTCCAGGTCTGAATCAGATKTGTACTGAGACTTGGGCATCCAGGTTAGGGGTTGAGCAGATCCTCAAAASAGGATTTTTCCTTGAAACTATTACATGTGCAGTATTTGGCCATTTCCTTTTGGGACAGTGACATTTTTGCATAGATGGGAAGGACAGAAATGATATTTCTACATTTCCAACTTGGCTGTGGTTTTTGCTGTTGATTTATTAAGCAATCTGTATTCATGCAGAAGCGAATTTTCTGAGAAAGCAAATCAAGTTCTCACAAGAAACTTACGATTGAATTATAACATTATCTTCAATTAAAGGAGTATTTATTTTCTGTCTCTTAGGATTAGTGCAGCACAGCTATGTTAATGTCAGGCAAAAATGTGCTGATTGTTGACCTTKTGTTGGCCTGTGTTCAAAACACAGGCGTTTGTTTATGTTCAGGATGCTGATCTTATTTGCAAATTATTTTGGGGCACTGGCAAGTTTTGCCTTCACTATCTCAGAAAACATCAGTGTGTTTTAGTTTTACAGAGAAGTGTTTTATCACATTCTTTTGTTGTTTGGTGAAATGCAGGGGAAAAGGGGGGGAAAATAGATGATTTGACTCTAATCGGTCATTTGAGACAAGAACAAAAACTTTTCAGCTAATGCAACAAATATCCTTCTCAAGTAGCAAGGTACTGTCAGTATCCTAGGCAGTTATTTCTCCACTTCACTAATCTTTATAATTGGCTTGTCTTTTACTGCCATTAATTAAGTGATGTAGTAGCCCATTAATAATTATAAAAGAGTGACACACCTCAGCATTTTCACCTTTCAATAATAGATGTCATGCTTCTGTTTTGGTTTGGTTTGGGTTTTTTTTTTTAAATTTAAAATAAAAAGTAGGTCAAAAAAAGCACATTGTTTTAAATGTTTGTATTTATTTTGGTGTCTTATAGCATCCTTACCCTTCAGAAGAACAGAAAAAGCAGTTGGCACAAGACACAGGGCTCACTATACTTCAAGTGAACAATTGGTAAGTAATTTTCCTCAGTGTTTCTATATGGTCACTGGCACCCTTTGGCTATTCCTGTGGTTTTGGGGASACACGTTTGTTCCCCTCCCCAATATTTTTTTGGTACAAAAGTGGGATAATCAGGTGAGTGGTTTCAGGGCGTAGAAATTATGAGGTTGGCTACTGTATTTTATTTTCCCATCATTTGGGAAGATTTCAGTGTAATTACATTTGATAACAGTCCTTTTTTTGGCTGGGATGTCTGTTCTTCAGTAGKAAGGCACATCCACTTGCACAACATTGGTCTTGGAAGAGGTTCAGATGTTTGGGGGGAAAAAGGGACAGTTGGTCCCATTTTTGCTGAGCATATTGTTATTTGGGGCTACTGTCAATGCTTTTTGTAGTGTTGTTAGAGGGGTTTTTCTTTTTGACTGACATCCTTTTATGTCTTTATCGATTTGTTTTTAAAATCCAGTTTATGAATAAACTTTGAGGACAATTTGGTTCTTTGCTGCTGAAGTACAGTGTGGAGCAATTTTATTAGTTTTTTCCAGCTAAGGGTTAGTGAAGCCCCTCCTCTGTTGTGGTGATTTATTTGAAGGAAGTCAGGATCCGTGCTGTTTCCACAGTGGATTTTGGGTTGCTAACTCTCCAGGGTGTGGTGAAGGCAACCAGTGAAAATTACTCGTGATTTAAGTATCATACAGCAGCAAACCTCTTTAAAAAAAAGTTTGATTTATTACCCTTTGATACTGCATCAGAATGTGGGCTCCTCCCACTATCCCAGAAAGAGTGTCATATTTGAAGTGTGTTGCAATCTAATACCTTGTAAAACTAAGTGTATCTAATTAATTGTCCTAATATTTTTAGATTAGTGTTTATGATGGGAAACCTTATCCTCTTTGAAGTAATACCCAGAAAATGGCCAAGGCAAACAGCAAGCCTGCTGGGGAAAAGGGAGGGAGGAATGCCAGTTTGCAGACAAAAGTTGTTTTTTTCCTCCTGTTCAATAAGTGTCAGAGATTAATATTACTGAAGCTCTGATTACATGGCCTAATCCATTTTAGTGAATAAATTTGGTCTTGATGTCCATTGCACCTACATTAACAAACCCTTCTCTCTTAGAGAGAGTAGGAGCCTATGGGAGAGATTTCAGATATATTAAACCCCATTACAGAAAATGTAATTTCTGTCAATATAATCCCATGTATTCTTCAATTTAGTACTTTAGAGATAACAAGCTACTTACAATATATTTGCCTTTGGAGGATTAATTTACAAAGTGCACTATCTGGGAGACGCAGGCGGGCTCACATAAGCATAGCTTGTAAGGGTTATCAATTTCTGTGACCCCACAGCAGCCYTGGGAGATCAATTTTTTGAAGCCCTTTAAGATGCTGAATAAAGGAAAATACCAAATACTTAGAGTATATATGAAGTATGCTTCCAACACACTTACTTTGAAACGGAGGAATAAAAGGCAYTAAACACAAAATTTACATGTTACAAGATTGTGTAACCCACAGCATTTTGGCTCACCCATAAAAAATTAGTGTTTGCTTCAACTTTACATCCATCCAGGTCTTACCCTAATTTCTATGGCTGTCCTTCAGTTTAACCAGGGGTGCTTTGGCCCATTGAAAAGCTTTGTGTGTTCATTGGGGTCCTGTTTGACAATGGGGTGGAGTAAGGGTGTGTTGCTTCTGTGGGGTCCAGCAGCACAGGGTTCAACATGGACAATTGTGTCAGTTTGAGATGGTCCATCAAAGAAACTTTTCAGGATGATGAATGTAGGATGGATTCAACTAAAGCTGGTGGAATTTCTCCAGAGTTACTTTCTGTAGGTTTTCTTTCAGTGTTCTTTCCAAGGTGTTTTTCAGTACCCATCTCACCTTGAATATGAGGAGTTTTTACTTGGGCTTCATGTCAGGTGTGTTCTTAAAAGTTCCTTATGTGCAAGGAAAAAAAGAAATGAGGTCAAAATACATTATAGCTGAAATCTTGTGGATGTAGGGCAGGCTTCCTCTGCTTGAGCTAGTTCAKTAATTCTGCTGTGGTGTTACAATTGTATAAATTATTGAGATMATTCCCCTTCTCTCCCCAGTGGATCAAGGATTTAACACTATAGAGGCAACTGGGYTTTCTTAAATCACAGCTGGTGGGCAGAGATGCCAAAATATGGCAGTTCAGCCCCTGCTTTTTGTAATGAATACTAAGGAACAAGGAGGCTGTGAGGCTGTTGCTGAGTGTTCCGATTGCATGGGAAATACCCAGCCATGAGGTGACCAATGAGCTTCTCATCCYCTCCCAAATCCTGGAGGCTATGGGGCAACCTTCTCAAACCTTTTGCTGGGTCCCTTTTCTCCTAAGGCTATGTGCAGAAGAAACTCCTCCTACCTAAATGTTTTGCTGCAGGGAAGAGCTAACATATAATTTCTGGTTGGTTTTGCCTTTCTTCAGTGGGCTCATAAGTCATTCAGCCACAACTCACAAAAAAAATTTGCCTTCCTCCTTAGATTCTTCCAAACTTGTTAACACACATGTACATTTTTGTATTAATGATGAGTCATTGTAAATCACTGTTGCAGAGATTAAATAAAATGCTGAAGGGCAGGCTGGGTGCAGATCAGTCATAAATTATTGGCAGCAACACAGCATGTGGGAATACATGAAATGTGCATGAAAAACATAAACTCATGTCTGGTAGCATGGTTGTTAGCCCAGACTGGGAATGCTGGATTTTCTGGCTGGAATTAGAAGTTTGCCACAGACCAGTCAGTGAAGAGAGCATTTGTTTTCTGCAGATTGAAAGCATTTAAACAATTTTTTTTTGTCATATTTTGAATGCCTTTTCAGTACGTGCTGGTTGCGCACTTCAGTTCTGGGCCGTAGCAAAAAGAAAATGTTGCTTTTCTCATGTGGCCTGCCCTGGTGTTGGGGCTCCCCAGGCTGATGCACACAACTTCTATTGATGGTGGAGGAATGGCGTGATGATGTGAGATTTGCCAGAAAATATATCCATGGAAGGGCACATGTCTTCAAAAATACCACAAAAATACCATGACCCTTTTCCTTGGACTTGTTCCTTGGGTTGTTTTTTTTTTTTTTTTTTAAGTAATGTAATCATCCACACAGAGGATTTTTCCCTTTTTTTTCCCCCACATGAAGACTTCGCATATGAATCACCAGCATTGCCTTCTAGGAGCATCTTTTTGCCTCTGTCAGATGTTTCTGTTGTGGGAAGAAGGAGCCCTTTCCCTGTTGCAAAACAAAAATAAATCTGTGGAAGGTAGGAAGGTAGCAGAGTTCAAATGCTGTTAGTCCAAATGAACTGTTCAGGTCTCTGTTGTGCTGGTTATTTAACCCCACAGCACTTTAGGGTTCCAAGCACAGTAATAGGAACTAAAAGGGGCATTTGTATGATTCCTATATGGACATGGTAGAGACCTGATCAGGTACAGGTTAATAAGGTGCTTTTCCCGGGTGATAAAAMCAGCAAATTGAAATATCCAGGAGGTGTGAGCCAATCACTTCTTACCTCAGCTGAGAGCCAGTCAGGCTATATTGAACAATCTATACAGTTTTCTTGTTTACTACATCCCAGCTGAATCCCTTCGCATTAAGAGCTAACGGTAAATAATTACTGCTGGTACTCTGTGAAGGAGAGAGAGCAGATCTCAACAAGGCCTGCATGAGGTGTCAGATGCTTGTTTGTGTTTTAGAAGAGTCTTGGTRCACCCAGCTAGATGTTGTATGTTTGTAGAATAATGTGCTTGTATAACTTCTCTATATGTGTGTGTCTGTATGTGACTGCCTCCCTAAATAGTGTTGCATAAAACTGCATATAAATGATCCAAAAAAAAAAAAAAAAAATATTGAGAATTCAAGTCCTTAAAGCTCCAGCCTTTATTAGGTGTTTCCATTCTTCTTTTTTTAAAATACCCTTGTGTTATCTAGGGCACAGCCCAGACAATGCTGGAGCTGCTAGTCAATATTTTATCTTGCCCTCATTCTTCCCTGCTTCGTTTGTTGAGCTGTATTCAAACTGTGCTTGAAGATGGAATTAATAATTACTGCTGGGCTTTCCTATGGCACTTACTGCTGTAATACCCAAGTCCTTCCCTGACCTCCACRTGCTTATATATGCMTACAAGGTTGTGGGTCTGCGTGGTRTTTTTACAGTTCCCCTGCAAAGAGAAAGAGAAGCAGTGTCCTGGTTCACAGGGGAAGAAGTGAGGCTCAGAGAAGTCCAGGTCCAGCACAGTCACAAGTTTTGAGTTGGTCTGGGACTGTGAGATGACTCAAAATTACAGGAATTTATTCACATTTAATGTCCAGCGATCACTGAAACTTCTTGTTTCGTGGTAACTCCAAGTTTTGAGTGCCTTGGTGTCTCACGTGCCAGCGCCCAGTTTTGGGTCTGGAGGAGAGATGTGACAAATCCATAACTGATGGGGAAAAGTTTGGGTTCAGTGATTTACTCTCGAGCAGCCCAAGGAAGCAGCAGAGCTGAATCCTCTTCCCCAGTGCAGCTGTATCAACCAGGACTGGTTTGCTTCTCTTCCTGCCTTAGTCATTCAACTTTGTCAAAGTTTTATTTCCTGTAGAAATATTTTTTTTTTTTTAGACATTTTATAATGGCCTGGCCTGTTCTTATAAAGCTGTAATTGTCTTTGGGATGCTTGAGGCTTTGAGCCCTATCAGAACCAGTRGCATGAGCTGGTCTCTGAACTGTTTGCATATGAAGTACATTCAAGACTGGAGTGCAAGCAGCTCTGGTAATRCAGTGTCCTAACTCTTGAGTTCTTGATTTTTATGTTCTTGGCTTCTTTGAATGTCAGTTTTGTGTATAATTTCCTAGCCTCACAGGAAAACTGAAGACAAACCCCAACTGTACATATCAGAAAAAATTATCAAATAAGGTAATAAAAAAAAATTCCCTAATCTCATCCTTGGAGTCAGATGAAGTTAATTTTACTGAAACTTTGTAAGAAAGACATTTCAAAAAGGAACCAAGAGTA